GACATCGACAAAGAAATATTTTACAGACGGGATCTGGCAGCATAATTACAGGAATTTAAGTCTGGCCGGTCACATATACCCCCAGACCGGATGTCTGGAAAGCTGTTTGGGAGCTTCCACATCAGTGAATAGGCAATTGGAAGTTGAAATGCACAGTTGCTACTCTGCCTAAATTCTTTTAGCTGAACCCTGGGGTTAAAGAACACCTCGTAATTAAATAACCCATTGGTGAATCATGCATATAAAAAAATACAGAGGGACAAAGAAGGCATTGTGGGTATTCTACAGTCTACTAACAAAAACTTGCGAGCGTTTGTGATGGGACTTTGTTGTCGGAATTCCACAGCATATATACCTCTGCTATTTTCTCTGTAAACTGACCTCATTTCAAAATTTGGCGTGTTGCTGCAACAATTCTATTTTCAGCCATACTGGCAGATTTTATATTTTGGTCGTTATGATCGATATGCGCTGACTTTTCTGGTTCAGTTTGTATGCTCAACTCACGATATAATTAAGCCCAATAAAAAATACCGGCATTTTATACTTCAAGGTGACAAGGTTTCGTTGCCACATCAGTGGCGTAGTAGGGCTGTATGGTATTGCAACGGGATGGAGATTTAAAAAAAAAACCGAAATCGGGATACTGCATCAAAGAAGCAAACCCGCCCTTACAGAAATGTCCCATGTAATTCCCATGGGAAATTTTCCCATGGGACCCCATGGGAATTGCATGGTGAATTGGACACCATGTAGCATGGGATTTTTCCCATGGGAGTTTTCCCATTGGCTTTTTCCCATGGGAAATTTTGTATGGGCTTTTTCCCATGTATGGTTTCCTTTCATTTCTCAAAAAAAATTATTGCTCCATGGTATTTTGCATTAACAACTTCCTATACATTTTAACCCCGTGTGTTAAGTGCTATTCACCAAATAGGTAAAGCACATCACGGGACTCCGATGGGGGTTGTTCTACGTAATAGGAGTGGCTTGTGCACTCTATGTCTAAAGTCCACATTATTGCTCCCATACCACTTGTCAAGTTGTACCATATTATCACAGTGTTCCCAACTTATTTTTTCATAAATGTTTCCAACCATAATAATAAATGAATAAATATTATCCAAAGTTTGAATGACACATGTCCACATAAAAAAATACTGTATTCATCATTTAACTTCACTTATCAACAGAAAAATTCAAAAATGTGCAATTACAACACTCGTTATTGTAAGGGATTCTCACAAAAATGTCCCATGGTGTCCCATGGTGTTCCCATGGCGTTCCCATGGTGTCCCATGGTGTTTATCCCATTGTGTTCAATTGGTGAACATCCACAGGAGTTTCCCATGGTCAGCTTAACAAATAGAATTCTTGATAACCTCTATGGCCACAAGTGAAATATTTTTAATTGAATTCAAATTTACAGCTAGGCAAATAAGTAATTAAATCAAAGAAAGGTTTGCCTATAACTTGGGAGTGCAATTGGGTCTATGATGGTTTTTCATGGCACATGCATTTTCTCCAGTATAACCCGGCAGTGTCCCCGTGCTGCCTTTTAAATCTCCATGGTGTTCCCATTGTATCCATAATTTATATCACCCACATTATGGTGTTCCCATGGCGTCCGAATCCTCATGGTGTACCCATGTGTCTAAAATCCCCATATCCTCATGGTGTACCCATGTGTCTAAAATCCCCATGATGTTCCCATGGTGTCCAGTAAATCCCCATGGTGTTCCCATGGTGACATACAATCCCAATGGTGTTCCCATGGTGTCCATAAAATCCCCATGGTGTTCCCATGGTGTCCATAAAATCGCCATGGGGTTCCGATGGTGTTCCCATGGTGTCCATAAATTCCCATGATGTTCCCATGGTGTTCATTAATTCCACATGGTGTTCCCATGATGTCCATAAAATCCCCATGGTGTTCCCATGGTGTCCGTAAAATCCCCATGGTGTTCCCATGGAGCTCATAAAATCCCCATGGTGTTCCCATGTTGTCCATGCAATCTCCATGGTGTTCCCATGGGTTTCCCATGATGATCATTTTAACTTACATGGTGTTCTTGATGACCCCATGGGTTTCCCATGGGGTCCCATGGGAATCCCATGGGACCCCATGGGAATCCCATGGGATGCTCATGGGACATTTCTGTAAGGGCGGGACGGTGAGAATGGGTTAATATTACACGGGACGCGGCCTGGAACCTACCCTGGAAACGGCACGATTTCCTAATTTAATTTGAGTAAGATTATGAGGCCCACAATGCATTCCGTCTACCGCAGACGACAATTTCAAAGGATTGCTACATTAAAGGCTAGGGAGGTTCCACCATCAATGTTTGGAGTAAACTACAAGATGCAATTGTCCTCGGTCCTGCTTCAGAGTCTTTTTAAAAAGTCTCCAGCATCCCAATTTTAACACGACAAGGCAAGTGGTCATACATTCCACTGATACAAAATGGCCTTAAAAAGGTGAACAGCATAAGCTTCCGTAGTAGTATAGTATAAACATGAAAGAAATGAAAGATCCGAAATCCGCCGTTTGTGTGGAGACCTGACTTTTTTGGTGTCTACACAATGTTTCGCAAAAGTACATGAAACATTACAAGACACCAGCCTAAGGCACGTGGTGCGTAGGTTTACATCACATGCACGAATAGGCCTCGTATATCTAGCCACAGACCTGTGTATTAAAGTCACAAGTGACAGTCAGTGTAGTGAGATAAGTATATCAATCTAATACACAAGTGACAGTAAGTAGATGGTTTACAAAGAGGACTCTATATAGGCTGGCACTCTGGGACCAGCAAAAACACCAACACTACTTTCAAGGCGGGATATGGGTACATGCATGGAGTGTGAGAGCTGAGAACCGTAGACCAGGCCTCACATTACGAAGGTGTATTATGTTCTGCATGTAGAGTATCGAGTTAATGAAGTGCCTTAAAAAGTGAGAAGGTTGATCTTGAACAGAATTCTGAATACCTATTTTTCTTGAAAATCCCACTTTCTTATGATGCAGGCCTACGTCACAGGTCTTCATACAATATGTGATGATCAGATCTGGGAAAGTTTTATAATTGACCTCTGCATGTTGACCTTTACGAAGTCGAACTTTAATACCCTTTTATGGTTATTTAATTATCAACTTTAATCTTTAAAACGCAAACTTTTCAAGCTCCAAGTCTATATGTTAAGTGTTTATGCTGTGAAAAAAAATAATATGTAGGGCATATCTGACTTCGGACGATTAAACAGCAAATAAAATAATGCAATAGCAGCGCAGCAAAACAAAGTACATGTACACCCCAGACAGGATTTCTGAAAAGCTGTTTGGGAGCTTGCACAAACGTGAACAGACAATTGAATTTGACATGCAGGGAGGCTACTAGGATCCTTTTAGCTGAACCCTGGGGATAAAGAACACTTCGTAAATAACCCATTGGCGAATCAAATAAAAATGCAGAGGGACAAAAGAGGCATTGTGGGTATTCTACAGTCTACCAACAAAAACTTAGTTGCCCTTTGAGCGCGGGCGATGGAACTTGTAGTTGTCGGAATTATATTTAAAGCCATACTGCCGGATTTGCAATGCTGGTCGTTATATGGGTCATTCCATGAACTTGGGGACAAAAGTGTGACGTTGCCCAAATTTCAAATTCTTCCAAAAAACACTCGTACATCAGATTCGAATCAGCCAACCGACCCCGTTAGCGCGTTAGCTTAGTGGTAAGACGTCTACTAACACTAGAAAGCAGGAGGTCGTGAGTTCGAGTCCCACCCGAGTGGTTTTGTTTCAACGTTCACCGGGAGGTAACACACTGAGTATGCAGTGTTTATACGTCGGTGAAGGGCAAAAACCTAATTTGATTTACATCACCCCGACGCAAAATTCCATCTTGTAGTTTATTAAACAAAACAAAAAAGATTTTCATGCAACACATTAATACAAATATGTACGGCCATAGAAATTCATGTTGCAAAATTAAAGTCAATGATGTAATGGGGAATTATATTTTGCTACACTGCAAAATTATTTTCAAATCCTTTGAGGGTGACTTAGTTCTGCCGGAATGGCTATTCCATAGGCTACAAAACCCTGGCTACCAGCCCCAGCCTGTTTGTCGCGAACAACCTACCCTAGAAAGTTAAGCTTGATTTCCCATGAAGCAAGTACAAACGCAATCTAGCTGCAAGCTTGCCAGCTTCGCTACTTAAGCGCTAAGCTATCCCAGTAAAGCTTACAGGCCTACGTAAAAAGGAATGGCCAGGAAATCAAAAAGAGCATTGGCACTTTGCCAATGATGGAACATTATAAAAAATATCCCTTCTGCATAGTGGAGCGCCCCAACTTTATTCTGAATTCCTATTGGGTAATCGTGGAGTCACCGTCAGTGGAGCTATCACTTCGACACACCTCATACCTTCGATCAACATACAACCAAGAGAAGTCAGTGAGAGAATACAGATATCCACTTCAACATTAACGTAAGTGCAGCTCTCCGTTGAAATTATATATGACTTAATTAGCAAAACTTCAGCACGTTCTTTCACGTTAAATTTAGTTTATTGATTGTTTTGTTTCCAAGATTCTGACATGATAGCAAAAAGCTACAAATGATTTTCTTTTTTTTCCCCAGATTGTTAGGCAAGATGAAAACCTTTACCATCGTGATGCTTTTGGTGTGTCTGGCTGTGGCCTTTTCTGCAGTAGATGCCTTTCCTGCAAAGGACGCTGAAAGTAAGTGCAGTAGGGACGGTGTCTACATCAGCAGCCAATCCGAGGCTCATTGCACTGAGCATTATTGTGTATGGCGGTCCTCGCTTCAAAACTCTAGGGCCTTTCACAGGTTCAGGGTTCAATACAGGTTTACGACTAAATACACACTGAGGTCATCATGCACCAACTTCTGCAGTACGTCGCGTGAATATTACTCAACCAATAAAAAGTCACATTCTTATATAATTTGTGTTTCTATCATACCACGTAGAGCGCGTGAGATGACACTGATGGATGAACTGGAAGCTCGTATAGGTAAGTCAATTTCTCACTTTATGCATGCTTTTCAGTAAAGATAAACAGATGCGGCGAAAACTAGGAGTCAGGCATAACACAATTAATTGTTTGTAATTTTCTGCCTGTGTGCTCCTAGATCCTCAAGCTAAGTTCGCCAAGCTGACTGGTTCAATGCCACTTCAGTCAAATTCGTCTATTCAACCAATTGTCGAACATCATTTTCCCCATAGTTTGACAGTTAAACATGTGCAAGTTTCGTCTCGTTTGTTTAGGAAAGAGACTGACTATATGCAATCACCATGCCTGTTCGTATGTAGTATGTACTATACTGTAAGTAGTATGCATGTGGCAATTTGTTGAAGTCCCATTGAAATCAAACTTAAATCATATAGTTTCAAGATGGTACTATCATATGATAATGATGTCAAAGGTTACACACCAAGTTCAAAGGTCATCTGAGGTCAAGTTGTAAAAAGGTTGAAAATGTGAAACTGATCTCATATATGAACAGTTGAAGTCCAATTGGAGCCAAACTTGGATCATAATAAAGCAACATGGCAATATTCATATGATGATGATGTCAAAGGTCACATGTACCAACTTCTGAAGTACGCCACATGAATATTACTCAACCAATGACTCAATATCACATTCTTATACAATGTTTGTTCCTATCAATTAATTCCACGCAGAGCGTGAGATGGAACTGCTGGAGCAACTGGAAGGTCGCTACACATGTAAGTCCATTTCTTCATGAATTTTGTGCATGGTCTTCGGTACGAGAGAAACGAAAGCGGCAAATCAGGAGTCAAAAAGAACAAAAATAGTTGTAATGTCAATAAGCTATAGGAATAAGCTTTTTTTTCCAATTTATAATTAAAAATATTTTCAAAGAACACTGCAAAACAGATTTTAACACGGTTTTAGGCAGGGCCACTGGTGTAAAACTTTAAGACGAGATGTCCTATAAAGATATCACGGCATGATGTTAGATTTGCATCGCAGGTTGAATTGCTATTTTTACACTGACAATTTATAGCTACTGGTCAGAATATTGTGTATGAGCGATTCCCTGTTTTGCACGTGTCACTTGTTTGTAATTGTCTGCCTGTGTGCTCTTAGATCCTAAAGCTCAGTTCACCAAACTGACTGGTTCAATGCCACTTCGGTCAAATTCCTCTATTCAACAAATTGTGAAACATAATTTTTTCCCATGGTTTATTTCACGATTAGGCCTAAATATGTCCCATATTTTTTACAGCATGTTCTGCAGGGTGTCCAGCGGGAACGTACTGCAATACGGCCCGACGCCAATGCCTTCCTTTTTAATCACTAAATGTAAGAGTGAACAACTTACTCTCCAAAGAGTGAATCTCTATTAAAAACCACTCCAAAAGAGTGAAATTTCCTACTCTTTCGAGGAGCCATATAAGGGACCACTCCTTTTTTAGACTGGTCCCTTATGGCTCCTCGAAAGAGTGTAAATTTTACCCTTTTGATTGATTGATTGATTGATTGATTGGTTTTTTTTTTTTTGCTTTTTATATACAATGTATACAATAGAAAGTGTCGTGATTTCTCGTGCTCAAAAAACATTAAAATACATTCAAACTTTATATTACAAACATTAAACTACCACATACTTCACATCAATTCCCCTCAAAAATCTCCCCAAAATCAAAGTCGTTAACAAGACGAAAGAATTATTACAATGTAAGGTGACTTTATTCCATACAGCCCCCTGATCTCCTGAAAAAACATTTAACTACATTTGAACTTTATATTTAAAACATTAAACAACCACATGATTAATTTAATTATAAAATAATTCTTCAAAAAGTCGAAAGTCATAAAAGATTAAGAGATTGCACTGTAAGAATTCCCTTCAGACCCTTATTACAGTAGGATACACACTGCTCCTGAATGTTTCTGTTTTGCATCTGATTATTCTGTAACGCTTCCCTGGTCTCAACATATCAAACAACTTTTGGAGTGGTTTTCAATCTTTGGGAGTGGTTTTTACAAGCGATTCACTCTTTGGAGATTTTAACTATTTTAACTGTTTTACATTAAGAGAAATATACCGATCGAGAATTGCCATTAAGACGGTAAGTGAAGGTATCAAGTGATATAGATATGGTTTTTTCACTGAAAGTCATCTTTGTCAAAGGCACTCCATGTGTCAAAATCTCTGGTGATCAATTTAATAGGGCCCATGAAATGCAATTTTTGAGAGCTAATTTTGTGCTATTTTCTAATCCTCGTAAGTATATAAAAAATAACTGACTTGCCCTTTTGGTTAATTTTTTTTTTTTACTGAAAAGAGCACTTTTGTAAATATTTAAAACTGTCCATGCTATTCCAGACAACCGAGGACGCTGTTGCCGTGATGTCATTTCAGTAAGACACTGTTCACATTAGGTGCTTTTTTGTTGAAATTGTGTACCCAAAATGTGCTCATTGTAAACTTTTGTGAGAAAAGTTTGCTCATTGTCTTACTGTTATGAACTGACTCAACAACGAATCACTAAAGAAAAGAAAGTTTACCACTGCAAAATATCCAAAATTCGGGCAACTTAATGCGCAAACTAATTTCAACATTGAAGTTTCTGCCTGATATGACATCACACTTTTGCTTATGAATATAGAATTCTGCATTAGCATCAAAACCAAAAAGGCACCAAAAGACCCTTCAGAAAACGATTCAATGAAAATTGAACATTACCCCTTTAAAATAAAAACAGCACGTTGCTTGGTGACATTTACTGTTTTATCATCAGGCAAAGGGGAACTTAAAATTGAAAGCATTAAATACATATACACAGGAATACATTAGCTTTCGCCAACCACACTGCTATAGGTCGTGCTTACTAGAGCACAATATTGTGCACATAGAACTACGATATAATTATTAAAATACTATTTCGTGGCATGGATGTGGTAATTATGGTTGCGGCTCATGGATATTAACTTAAGCATTTTTTGTCCTCTGAGGTAAGCGTGGGCTTTGCTGTGCTTACCCTCTTGCGCGGTCTCCATTAAACAAACGGAGGCTGTGTAAGCAAAAACATTTGAAATTCGGCCGTGCCTTTTCCATTGTGCGTGTGGAAGCATACTACAATTCGCCGTGTGGATGAGGCTGCGCATATACGTGAATTTAAGCAACACTTTGCGCTACAATCATTTGAATATGCAAAAACAAAACAGAAAAAATGAATCAATGTCCATGCGTGTTTCTATCATTATTGCAGTTATCCCTACGAGTGAAAACCCTTGTATTCAACAGCAATCGTTGTTTTTCAGTAATAAATGGGCGAAAAATGAATGGGCAAAGGTACTTAATGGGCAAAGGTACTAAATGGGCAAAAGAATTAATGGGCAAAGGTAATAAATGGACAAAGGAAATAAATGGGCAAAGGCACTAAATGGGCAAAGGAAATAAATGGGCAACTCAACGGGGTCTCGCGTAGCCAAGCGGAACAAAAACAAGCACCTCAAAGCCGGCTGCAATGCAAAGGATATATTGCCACGATTCTCAATTTTGTCTTTTATTTTTCCTGAGGAGATCCTGATATTTTAGATCACCATTTTTGTAATCGTGCTTTTTCACCATAAAGGGATTCTTAGCACGACTGCTGATTTTGCATCTTTCCCCTGTCTTTGTAAATTTCTGCAATCGTGATGTCCGTTTTAAAATTCTAAATCAGTTGTTTCTTTCTTTCGTATTTTATTTTTTTTTCACAGAACCCGACATGTGGCCCGACGGATTCTGAATCAGTTTAACACATTTTGTGGTTGTGGGTATTCTTCTTATAACTAAATTACTTTGTTTCGTTGATTTAGGCCCAATTTTATGCTAATTTGGGAAGCGCTTTATGTTTATATTCGCTCAAGTAAATATAACGTTAAGGCCTTTGTAGGTTACAATGTAAGGCAATGGCTTAGACTTGTAGGATCAATATAAATCCAGTGCTATTATACAATCACAATTAATACCCAAGTTGAAAAAATGTCTCCCAAACAAATGTGCGTATAACTATTCTATAAGCTTCCCCTGAACCGTTTAAAAAACTCTCTTCTTTAACTTCTTTTATTAAACCTAAAGTAAAACAAATAAATGCCGATGTTAGAAAAATGCTGTTTTCCAAACATATTACTTCCCTGATCAAATTATGTATTTTATCTGGACCACGAAATCACTCATAATACGTATAACAACCTCATCTTATCAAATATATTCAAAAGTGACCAATGAACAAATTTTACGAGTACCTCTCGATCAGGAGCTATCAAGAGAGGGGGGGGGGGGGGGGGAGGTAAGCGATATTCCCCAACATGTTTGAACTGCCCTTTTCCATTCAAGTGCCCCTTTTCACAAGCGTTTAACCCCCCACCCCCAATATTTAAAAAAAGTGCCTTTTTGAAAACAAGTGCCCCTTTGTTTTAAACTTGTGCCCTTTCAAACAACGAAACAAGCTGCATTTTTATACCAGCGGCTTCTTACTAGTGCCGTTTACGAGACTAGCACGACTGCCGCAATTGTGACGCTATGAAGAGCGCCATCTATTGCCCGATAGTGTCCGATCGTCCGGTTTGAACAGCGCCCCATTGGAAGATGGTACAAGCATGCATGTCTGAAGAAAACCTGTCTACATTTCAACACGGATTTGCGAGTGCCCTTTTCACGAAAGTTGTACCCCCTCCCAATAAAAAATGACCTTGCTAGGCCTCTGTAAGGTCCTTAGGTAACCCTGTCCCCTGCCATTTTTGTTCTGGTAAACTTGCCTGTGTCATCTGAAATGTATAGACTCTTATGGAATCGGTGCCTTTTTCTGAGATGGACTGAACCGTGTCCTGTCACTGTCCTACGATATGCATGCGCAGTAAAACCAATGAGTTCTTATTTCATGAGTCTAAATTTAACACTACACGCAACTTCGTCCTCAGGCTTACAGTTCAACCTCGTTTCTATTAATAACCCCAGGTGGTTCGTCCCTGAGTCCTGATTTGATACCGAGATGGCAAGTACATGTATATGAATTTATATCGTGTACTTGGTTATTTCACTTAGTGTCATGGTGTGTCGTGTGTTAGCGTTCATTGTTCATTACATTGTTAATTACGTTCAATCCTCCTCAGAAAGTCTTTTTCTTTTTTGCTGATGATAATGTAATCTCTAGGGCCCATGCTTGTTGGTTTTGAATATCCGATACAAGGGTGAAAGAGCAGTTAGTGCTGGCGTACTGCTCGACACCATTGGACCGAGGTTGCACTACACCGCACTTACTTCGTAAATCTGCGTATGTACATGCAAACGCGCATTGTGTAGGTCTTTCCTAAAAGGCGCATTGCGGCTTTTCGAATATGGATATGAATGCAGTGGACGATGTTGTGGAATTGAAGTAAAAATGAATAGTGTGGTAATCAACCAGTGGATCTATTAAGCAATAGGCAAAAATGAGCAACGAGTTGGAGGCGTTTGGTGGCCGAGTCGGTAAGTGAAAGAGTAGCCGAGGCTGAGAAAATATGAACGTGATTTTATTGCAGGATTGGGAGTAATAATTATAAGCATGAATAGTAAGTAACATTTGAGTACAGAAGGCATACAGGCATAATTGGTTGGAATTCGTGCGATTCCCAATGCAGTACGTGCGCCACCAAGAGTGTGCCATATTATGGAGAGTCAAATTTTTTTTCAAGTTAACGATCGACAACTGGAGTGTAAGTAATCAAATTGATCTATTCTTTTGTTATAGATTGGGGCATAGCGTTCTGCCGCTTTACAAAAAAACGCCCTTCTCTAGAGTCCAGCACCCGATTTCACGAAGCGCTGCGACGCGTCGAAACTCAAGTTACGATGTGTAACACGTCGCAACTCGCGACGCGTCGTATCTTCCATTTCACGAAAGTTGCGATATGTTGAACGCGTCGTAAGTTCCTTGACAACGGCTTAAAACACGTCGCAAGTTACGACGTGTCTAGTGATCATCGCAAAATAAGAAGAGTCATTTCTAAGCAAGTTTTATGCCACAAACATTACATTAAAGAGAGTATAATACCGAGGCAATGTGTGTAAAGTTGTAAATAGAAAATTCATTGAATAATTATGAATTAGACCGGAATATTAGAGTTGAAATTTCAGTAGCTATACGTACTATATTTTGTTTTACGTTTTAACAAATTTCGAGCTGAGATCCGACGACTCTTTGTTAAATATCAGACGACTATTTACTGAACGCTGACTAAAGACATAAAACAGTCACCGAGTTGTGCTATAAATACACCTACGACGCGTCGCACTTACGACGTGTTTAGTGAAATAGATCGCAGGACGCGTCGCAGCTGCGACGCATCGTAGAGATACGACGCGTCGCAACGCTGCGATGCATCGTAAGTTACGATGAGTTTGATGAAATCGGGTGCTGGCCTTACGAACGTCCTTGTGGGTGTACTCTGCAGATTCAGAAGAGAACCTGTGGCACTCGATTGCGACGTAGAGGAGATGTTTTACCAAATCAAAGTCAACGCAGAGCATCGCAATTTTCTCAGATTCCTATGGTGGGACAACGGAAGCTTTGAAGGCGATCCTCATGTATGTGTTTCGCATGAAAGTGCACTTGTTCGGTGCCATCTCATCTCCTGGATGCGCAAACTTCGGCCTGAAACGGATAGCTATCGGTTGCAACCAAAGAAGAAGCTATCAACATGATTCAGAAGTCGAGAGAGCCCTCGGAATGGAGTGGTGCATTGAATCGGATACCTTCCAATTCTGCATTACTCTCAAAGACCAGCGACTGACGAGACGTGGAGTCTTATCTACAGTCTGCTCTGTTTATGATCCGTTGGGCCTGGTAGCACCCGTCATATTCGTAGGAAAACAAAAATTCTCTGCCTCTGCAAAGACCAAGTTGACTTGGACGACCCACTCCCAGATCCGCTGAGATTGCGTTGGGAGCAATGGCGAAGCAGCCTAATTCACCTCCGGAGCCTGAAAGTCCCGAGATGTTTTTGGCCAGATATCTTCAGAGACTTGAAATCCATCTAAATTCACCACTTTTCGGATGCTAGCATCAATGGATATGCACAGTGTTCCTACCTGCGACTTCAGAATGGTGAAGAAAGAGTCCACTGCGTCTTGGTGATGGGTAAGTGTAGAGTCTGCCCACTGAAGGCTGTCACAATCCCTCGCTTAGAACTCAACGCAGCAGTTGTGTCAGTACGAGTGAGTGTTCTGCTTTAGAGAGTACAAGGAATGCTGCAAAGTGGTATGGACAGACAGTCAAGTTGTCTTAGGATATATAGCCAATGATGCCCGTAGATTTCATGACTTTGTGGCGAACAGGGTGCAGATAATCAGGGACCATACGGAGCCAGTGGAGGCATATACGCTCGGATGCCAACCCAGCTGACGACAGCTCTAGAGGTCTTTGCGTGGACGAATAAGTGAATCAGTAAAGATGGCTGCATGGTCCCGAATTTCTTTGGGAAAGGGACATTCCGCCCAATCGAGATTGAATTGTGCCACCGGTCCGACTATCTTTCCAGACGACCCTGAAGTGAAGAAAATCCAGGCATTTTCCACACACTCGACCCAGACGCAGTCCATGTAGGAACGCTTGGAAAGGTTCTCCCAGTGGCATAGAGCTAAAAGAGCAGTAGCAGCCTTCCTCAAGCTGAAATCCCATCTGAAAGCCCACTCAGTGAAGAAGGCACAGAGGATTGACCCAATTAAAACATTACGAGTGAATGCGATCCCTCTCTAGGAACCAGCCACAGTTGAGCAGCTCCGTCAGTCAGAAGTTGAGACCATTCGACTCTTTCAGAGACATGCCTTTTCTAGTGAAATAAAGATTCTGGCTTCACTTGATGTCTGCAGCAACGCAGTTGATCGACAAACAGCCAGAGTACGGAACAAGGCCGTGAGAAAGACGAGCTGCCTGTATAGACTGGACCGTTTCATCGATGCAGATGGTGTAATGCGTGTTGGTGGACGAATCAGGAGAGCCGATCTTCCTCCCAACTTCAAACACCCTGCAATACTCGCTGGGAACCATCATATCACTGAACTGATAATCCGACACTGCCACGAAGTAGCCGGTCATCAGAGCGAGCGGCTATTGGATCATTGGCTGCAGCTCTGCCGTCTCCCACTTCATCTCTAAATGCGTCAAGTGTACCTAGGAAGCTATACGATCCGGTTGAAGAACAGAAGATGGCAAACCTACCAGTAGACAGACTTGAACCTGCGCCATCCTTTACCTATTGTGGAGTTGACCTGTTCGGGCCATGGTATATAAGGGAAGGCCGGAAAGAACTCAAGAGATATGGTGTCCTCTTCACCTGCATGGTGTCCCGAGCTATCCACATTGAGACTACGACTGCGCTCAGTGCTGATGCCTTTATCAGAGCATTGCGTAGATTCATACCCATTCGAGGACCAATAAGACAACTGAGATGCGACCAAGGTACCAATTTTGTTGGGACACGATTAGAGTTTGAAGAAGCCCTAAAGGAAATGGATACTGGTCAAGTCAAGAAATTTCTACTCAAGGAGGATTGCAACTTCATCGACTTCAAGATGAATGTGCCCACTGCTAGTCATTGAGCAATTCCGCTCAGTGCGAAGAGTGAACCTGTCTCTGATGGAACAGATGGGTTCTCACCTTAATGATGAATCTCTGAGAACCCTCATGATGGAAGCGGCCGCTATTGTCAACAGCAGACCCCTAACGATTGATAAGAGACATTTTCACCCTATGCTTGGCCACACTTTGGATTTGGATATTTGCATTCATGTACATGCATGAC